CCTGTAAAAACCCGAAATGCAAACTAAATCTTTATCATTGATGATTCTCCCAAATACTCAAGTTTTGAGACTGTAGCTCTCCAACGATAGAGGCTCAAAAACAATGATGATTTTGATAATTATATTGATCTATACTTAACGTGTTTTACAACAACTACTTTTAATTAGGAAACTTGAAATTAAAAGAATCCCCATACTTTTTTGTGAAAAGATGCTTCCTTGATTACAAACCTTTTCTAAAAAAATGATCGACCTTTTAAAGTTATTATGAGGGAAAATGTCAATGTGTCCTTCAGAATGCCAACGTGCAATAATCAAATGCGCATGTATAGGAGATCCATGTCTCTTCCCTAGTTTGATGTCTTATCCTCTGATATTTTCTTTTTATTTCCGATTTTTTTTTTTTTTAGTAGAAAAATAAATTGATGCAATATTACTAAAATTCGGTTATTTTCGTATCGATGAGAACATCCCGACAGTTTTGACATACCGGTACATCAATGATGTAACGTATCCAATATAAATAACTGTCCTACCTGCCGGTTTACGCAAAAACAAAACTCCCCTCCGTAACGAAAGAGCGCACCAAGGGGGAAAATCTCGAAACTTGCGTATTGTGAGTATCGTAATATGTAGGAACTACTTTATAGATTTAAAGTCATGAGTTGAAATCTATCAAGTATAACATGTATAATGAAAAAGGTAAAGATCAGAAAAATAATCTCAAAAATCGTATAAACAATACAAATCGTGAACAGGACAGAACATAGACTTTAGGAAACATCAAAGATGGGATCAGGTTTCTACAAGTAGTAGGTATCCTTGGGATACTTCTTTATTAATCTGGTAATCGGTAGTCAAACGTAGTATAGAAACAATGATAATTGGCATGGAACCTATCAGTCCAAGTTTGACTCAACAACATTTTGTTTTGCAAAGAAGGTTATTTTAACAACTGTGAATTTTGAGAGATTCTAACTTTAATTGAGATCACCATATTTGTCAGTAACCTATAGCTACGTAAAATTAAGTATTGAACTCAGAACATGCATGATCTTGCTTACTGAATCAGTGAATCGGTTCGGCTACATTTGCAATCATTCTGTTTGTCAGATAGGGAATTTAGGAAACCCAGATCTTTCAAGTGGAATCATAATTTCATTAATATTATGAATTCTATGGACGATTACGCCAGCGATCGGCCAGACATGAAAAAGAAGACCTTGACACTCTGTCAAAATGGATGAAATCTATCAGATATATGTTAAAATCACGCATTAAGTGATTGAGAGGCAATATGAAAAACATCTATCCTTCTGTGTTCAATAATTCAGAAGTGAAAAAAAAAAAAAAAAAAAAAAAAAAAAAAAAAAAAAAACCAATTAGATAGACTAGGGCCTACATGATATCGGTATGTACTGGTTCCAGCTGATTTTAAGACAGATTACAACATTGTCTTTGTTTGTAAGGCTCATTATTTTAATTGTATTTTAAAAGAATAGGGATTTAATTCTACAAGTGGCATCCAACTTACACTCATAACTCCCTCTCTAAGAAATTCTTCAAAATCATGTGTCAATTTTTGAATATTTTTAATATTAAGAACAATAACAATGATTTTGAATTACCATATTTATATTGGATTCCGAAACTTCATTAAAATCCTTACAAATAAGGATACATGTTCTATCAAGCCTCTTTCTTTACTCCTCACTAAAATACTAACAACAGTGAAGAAGAAACTTCAGGAGTACTGTACAATAATATATTCGAGAAGTGGTGTAAATCAGATGTGGATACTTAAAAATTCGAAGGAACTTTTGAAAAATTTGAAATCACAAAATTTTACCAAAATCAATAACATAAAAACTTACGACTTTTCAACTCTGTAACTCAGTTTGAATTATGATAATTTTTGCGCAATATTTGTCGCAATATAAAATGCATAGAAATAATCATCCCATTATTTTATGTAACAACCATTCCCCACGATAAATTAAAATCCAGGCTTTTTGACATCTTTGACAGCTATTTTCAATAAAAATGGAACTCTTAAATTTACTTACCTTGTCATTGGTCATTTGCAAATTATTGAAAAAAAAAATCATTCTGATTGTACACACAGGTACTCTGAAGTTGATATTAAAAAGATGTTTGAATTCATGATTGACAATATCTATGTGGTTTGGGGAGAACAGGTCTTCCAACAATCTTTTGGAATTCCAATGGTTACCAATTGCGCCCGACCTATTTTTGTATTCATATGAAGCAGAATTTATTCAAAGTCTTATACATCTCTTGCTGTGGCTTTCAACTCGACATTTAGATATATCGACGACGTGTTATCAATTAACAATTGTTATTTCCATTCATATGTCGACACGATATATGCCCATCACGACAAGGAGCAAATGGCGGGTGTGACCGTTCGGCAGGGGATGCTCACTCCTCCATGGCACCTGATCCCACCTCTGTTTATGGAGGTCCATGTTTGCTCTGTTACCCATTTGTATTGTTTTAATATAATGGAGATTGAGCTTGAAAACTGTTCGTTATCTCCATTTTTCATAGTAAATCATTAGTTTCACTTAAACGTCTTTATTTTAAAATATTCAAATATGAACAGATGTGGCAGACTCTTTGGTGTATACGTGACGTATCTAAAATTTCAGATACATTAAGACTATAAAATATCTATTTTTATACGAATAACAAACAATATTCCTGGAATTTTAAAACTATTGAAAAAGTCGAAATTTGGTGGAAAGGAATTTCATTTTTGTTTGAAGATTATGATATATAAGCGAGTATGCTTTGAAAGCAATCAAATCATATCTTGGGAAATAAAGACTTTTTTTAGGAATTTAAAATTGATAAATTATTCAAGCTGCCAATTAATCGTAAATAAAAATTATAATTATCAACTATTACAAGAAGACAACAGCGTGCCTGAGACCAAGATGTGCACCACCACGACGTTATCACGTGACGTGATAGAAAGAAATATTCTTTAATAAGAAATAAACAGAACACTACCAATGGGTTAAAATAATTTCTTTGAGTAAACAATATAGCTAAAAACATTTGTTATGCCTAAAAAGTGCTGCTAGATTTTTACTGTCCTGTAGGCAACATAATAATTCCACACATTTGCACGAAACCTTTCCCGATGTCTTGCATTATATACATATAACCCGAGATATTCCTCCACACCATGATTACCTCACGATTCTAGCAGCAGCTTTCCAAGTATTATAGAAGGGAAGCTTTCGATCTGCATATACAAATACTATGTTTTGTATTATCCGGCATAGTGTTGTTCTTTTGCATCATTTTGTCACTAATGACAGAGGAAAGACAGTCCGGGATACGTAAATAGATGACTGTCTTGAATAGGAGACATAATCAATGAAAATAAATCAGAAAACCTGTTTACATTTGTACAAACTTATTATCCATAAAAATCACACACAATTTTCACGGTATTTGCTTCCAAACCCCCCTTTTACGTATCTTTTTACATGCCTTCGTCATTATTTTTAAATCCAAGTGACAAATACAGCATAGCAAAATAAAAACATTTTATCTTGTTAATATTAACACATTTTCAGGAGTTTAATTACGTCTCTTAATATCAATATTAGGAAAACGTATTCTGAAATTGACGTCATCTCGCCATACTGTTTTACTGATTTATTGAAATCTGAATATTTCCTTCACACACCTGCTACCTGTCTGGATTTGTCGGAGCATCAATAAAAAAGGTAAAATATTGCATTTTTTACCTTAAAAAACTATTCAAAATGTGTGACTTTGTTCATAAAAGATTGTTCATAAAATATTGAAACATTGTCGAAAACAATCTTTTAGTCAGATGCATGCGTGTCAAGATCGTAGTATATGGCATATGCAGAACAATTGTAATAATCTACATTTCCTTCAGGTTAAAATTTAACTCACACTGTGATATTGTCATGCTTGCCATGAATTCTTATTTTTTGTTCACGAATATGTAAAAAAAGACAGGTCCATATACTAAAATTTTGAAAATTAGCAATGATTTTTACTGTACGGTCATTGGATTCAAAGAGCAATCACTTGACGTTTCTTGAAGCCTGATTCCAGACCCGTTAAACTTTTTCACAGCTCTAAATATCTTTCATTTCGGTAGACATTTATGTCTATTTATTAATATAAAAAAAGAATAACTATATCAAGACATGTTATATTTTTTTCTAAAATGTCTTTGTGGCGTATCGGATATTCGTGAGATCCTTTAAACGTCTAGGCAGTTCAGCGATCAAGTATGAGAAACAATGCAAGATCAATGGGCGCACCGTCCATGTGGTAAGGAGGATATTGGGATATCGCAGGAGTTGATCATCAAAAAGGTTAGTCCTTCCATTCCTACAGAGTTGCTACCACTTATACAACTTGGCACTAGATACATGAAGGCAATCCCCAGTAGCATCTAAAAATTTTAATCTCTCTGGGCATTTCCCTGTCTGCACATTTATTTTTTTTTTTATACCTCGGTGCTCCAAGACATTCAATAACGTTTATTGTACGATTCAATTAACCATTAAATGTATACGAATTGAAACATTACCGGAATTATATTTAAATGATGATATGTCGTCAGGTTGGAGGTTATAGTCTTTTATTAAGCTATAGCAATCATTTTGAATCGTGGTCTCTTTAGTTGATTAACACACTTTATGATTGTAAGCTTCATCCATACTGTTAATTGACAGATCACTTTTTTAGTGCACTTCTGGGATTCCATAGATACTTGTTTTCTAGAACTAACAGATCATGTTGAAAACCAGCATAAATAAGGCTTCTAGTATCTTGAATACTGTATACAGGGAAATTTTCTCCCCATTTTATGTCCAGCCCATTCACCCTCTTCATAGATGGACGAATTTAAAACGGGGTGATTTAAAAAAAAAAAAAACACACACAGTATAATTTCTTAAATATAAATGTGACTGGGCGAATTCAAAACGGGGCAAAATTGTTTGCAAGTGTGAAAGGGTGAAATAACACTGTATACAGTATAATCCTGGCATTCATCGTACATATTGTTAGAAGTCCCTGTAAATAAAATGACAACATCTTGTTAATCAGCGATGAGTAATATCAAATAGAAGTTTTGGTTTCTTGAAGAAAAAATAATGCATATTTAATCTTTACCTTAGTTTGTCCTCCAAGAAATATGATCTACTGGAATAATCATTTCTGCAGTAAGACAGAAGATAGGTAAATATACATGCTTATGTAAGGCTTCTGTCTTATGTCGTTTTAAAAGAAAAAGATGGTAGGAATAAAACCAGAATATATATGAAAGGAGGCACCATGCTAAATCCTTACTTTACCGTTTTTACGCTAGATAAGTATGATTTTATAATTTTAAAATTATACATTACTATATAACTTTCCACCAAAAAATATATAATATTCTACATGTAGTTCTCTGCACGCATATGAACAACTAAGAAAAAAAAACATTTTAAATCGTACAAATATCGAAATTTTGACTTTGCATATAATTTAAGAACTTTGAATATTACAATGTATAAGATTTTTTTTTACCTCAGTTTACAGTAAATTCCAATCCCAAATATGAAACAAACAAGAAAACTTCCAGCTATAGACAATACGACTGTTCGCCAATCAATGTCCGAACGCCATAGTACATGTATGTAATTGTCTACACAAAACATGAGCAAAACATATTGATACATGTAAGCGAATTATTTATCTTCGTTGACTTGGGATAGAATCAACCAGCGCAGAATTTAAAAAAAATACTTAATTCAGATCTTATGAAACACAAATGTATTTGTTTCAACATTCTACTGATAGATATATTTAATTGTAAAAATGTTCCGTTTTATAGAACTATTGTAATTGATTTCATGAATGCATTCGGAAAGACGTAAAATTAATTACTTAGCATCATAGGCACCAATTGACAGCCTTTGTCTTTATCACATGGATAGCATTTGCATTTCTCTCGGCAAAGGAAACCATAGTAACCATCCGGGCATGTGGTGTTGCATTCTGAACCATATGTTCCCCATGGACAAGCTTTTCATGATATGATTTTTGTGAATTTGCATACATGTAATGAACTATTGTATAGCACAATGTATTTGAAGCTATCTTACCTTCGCAAGAACTGCCATTGTTGTAGTAATTGTAGCAGCATCTGATACCTCTATCATGACGACGAGAAGATGAGGCATTTTCAATAAAAACATTTTAAATTTAAATAAATATTTAAAATGAAAGCAACCATGCTGAATATAATTTTTTATCTTAATAAAAGTTCACGTAAGTAGTACCGACCCTGATGTATAAATCGAGCAAATTCCTGTTCTGTTTTCCGTCAGTACCCCATTGGATAGTATAGATGATATTTTCACCAACAAAGGAACATAAAAAATATATTCCATTGAGCTAAAATGTAATTTTCTTCAGTGTCAACTATTTTCTTGGTAAAGGAAGTGAAGCATGCAGTGAACTATTTGCATACATTATTTATGAATAATTTTCAGACAAGGAAAATATTGAAATACGTAACACTTTTCCTTTAACCTTAGGTTAAAGGAAATAGTGAACATAATAAAACATGGTCTCAGTAACTTCCTTAACAATGGTGTGCCCTATAAGATTTATTTTTAGTTTTAGTTTATACCCACCACAGCTGTTGCACATATGTCATTCTGAAAATCCCCGAAATCTGCTCATGGCTGTAAAGAATTAATTTGCCTTTTATTTTTTGAATGAGATTGTATTTGCATTCATACAATTACTTTTAAGAACGTGTTCTGTTAGTAACTGTTACGTATTAGAATCATTCTGCAATCTACCTTGTATAAATAAATCAAAACATGTGCATGAATACATGCTATGGAAACATTAAGAAAAATTGAAAAGTGTCAAGGTACATAAGGGGTAAAGGCATAATTATTTGCTCAATACATAGGTATAAATTTATCTTGGTATTGCACGTTTTCATCAAAATTCATATTTGATACTATTTGCTGAGAGCAATTCAACTTTGTAGTTATGATTTGATCTTGACTTTTCCTTTGACATTGAACATTATTCGTCATGATTTTTTCGATTAAAATTTACACGGAAATAGATTTGAAGAGAGCAATTCAAATGAATAATAAATTTTCGTTCTAAACTTTTTCTTTGACATTGAACCTCATTTTTGAACTAAAGATATTTTTAAAGGTCACATAGAAATGATGAAATACATGTTGGATCCAGAGAGTACAATTTCAATGTGATTTCATTTTCTAAGCTTTACCTCTAAAATAACTTTTATCTTCTTTAGGTTTTAAACTTTAGTTTCATCGGGATGTCTACATCAAACTTCATATAGACATGCATATTGGTTACAGCATTTCAACTCTGTCATACTTTTTTTTAAATTCATCTTACTGGCTACATGTACCGGTACTTCATACAACCCACCAGTAGATGAATCTCTTGCACAGATTTCAAACATTCCTATTTAATAAATTATATTCAAAGAGCTAGATCCACTAACCATCGGAATATGCCTTAACTAAAAAAATAATGTGGTTTTCAATATAAATATGTAGACTTTTAGCTTTTCATTACCGTTTTCCTTTTTTTTTTTAGATATCTGTTATACTTTTTCTAGAAGAGATTTCACAGTAAGGGATTGTTTTGACTGAAATTTGCGGGAGGACGTCATTATTTGTAATGTAACGTCACAGCGTTTCATTGTAACGTCGTAAAATAGTCTACTGTAAGTATATGAATCCACAGCATGTACATACTACTGAATTGATGCAATGCTTTTATAAAACTAGAGTGTTCCAAGTAATGCATGTGTTGCCTGCTTTGTAACTTCATTAAAGGTTTAAATAAATTTAAGAGTTGTCAGATTTTTATTTACTATAAGCATTATAGACTGATAGTTCATTGCATTTGCCTTCAAAGAAAAATGGCATCCATGGATAGTATAAGACTGCGATAGAATCTGACAATCAAAGAAAATATGGTTCCATAACCCTCAAATGGGTTGTAGCTATGCCACTGTGACATTTGATTTTCAGTGCTCTTTTGTCTGGTTCTGCCGCTGAGATGCCTATAAACATATAAGTAAATAAATTCAACATTATTAATACATAACGCCATTGTGGGGGGAAAAGAACCATTGTACCTATACATAAAGGTAACAACAAACCAGAATTAAACCCCAATGGGTTTAGACCATTACCACTGTTTAATTCAATTTTCAAAGTATTTGAAAAAAAATATTCATGATCGAATGCAATCTTTTATTCTTTGTAATGAACAATTTCCCCAAGATCAACAGCAAGGCTACCAAAATGGTATAAGTTGTACTAAAGCGTCATTTGTATTGCAAGTACGTAAACCCTTATACTACAATAAAGAAAACAAAAGCAATGTACACATATGTACTGCTTTTTTTGGACAGCTTTTGACTCCGTCTGGAGAAAAGATTTGATGGTAAAGTTGTATAAATTAGGGATTAGTGGCAAATTATGATCTAGATCATAATTTATCATTAATCCTTAATTTATCATAGATGATTGTCATATCGATACACATATCACTATTGTTATTAACGGATGCATATCAAAATGGTTAACTTTGTTTAGTGTAGAACAAGGTGTACGTCAAGGGGGGATTAGATTTCTTACAGTCTGTTTTCATAAATGTCCTGCTAAATGAGCTTCATAATGCTAGTAAAAAGTATGGGTTCTACTCGAGTGGCCAAAAGTATGGCCGACATCAATATGTTGTAATATGGAATGCATGAGAAATAAACAGTTTCCTAGTATAAAATAAAAGTTATTTATATACATACAATATTCTTTTAATAATTTGCTGCATAGGCCTTTTGGATGATGACCTAGAAGGAATCGACGCATACAAGCTGCGAAAGTCCATTCCATATTCGTGTGACTGCAGCCACTGAGTCATTTTTGTTTTCAATGTTGTCAATCTCACGGGATAATTTGATTTTGATACAAGGCCTGACATTTTCGATTATATTGAGGTTTGGGGACTGAGAGGGCCAGCTAAATTTTTCGTACCGTTTTCTTGTTTCCAAGCATGGGTCTGACTAGTTGCGTATGGGGCTGCCTGATCATCTTGGAAAATAAACTGGGGATTTCCAAACACTTCAGCAATGACTGGCCATACGTGATTATCTAGCAATTTTAAATATTTTATAGAATTTAGATTTCAATCACTGGCACAATAACACAAATACCGATAGGATGGCAAATTTTCAACATGTGGACGGAGATGCAAATCAATGTATTCAGAAATTTTCGTGGGGCGTCTGATTGCACTAACTATAGGTTCCTCTGGTAACCACATACCATCCCGTCCTTAAGAAACTCAGCGGTATTCTTGAAAAGAACCTGCCAATTCTCCACTCTAACAAAAGAATTGCAGAGGTCTTTAAGGAACCTCCATTGGCTGCCTACAGGCGCCCGAGGAACTTAAAGTCCTTGAGATAGGATATATTGACTATTGACTAGGGCGACCTGGCATACCTTCTTTGTGTATCTTAGGAAGCAGATAAAATTGTCCTGGTCTACAGTCAATAGGATTGAGTGTCTCATAGACGTCGACGTTGATACCAATCTCGTTTTTCTCAAACATTTCGTCAAGAGTTTTGGTGATGGCGGTGGAGAATTCTAGCCCTACAGTTAGCGCAATTGGACACCCCATGGAGAAAATTTCTGAATACATTGATTTACATCTCCGTCCACACGTAGAGAATTTGCCATCCTATCTCAAGGACACCACGGACTACATTAACAAGGCGCCCTCTACTGGCCTTCCAGATCATACCCTTCTCGTGACTATGGACGTCACATCTTTGTACACCAATATTCCGCACGATGAGGGTATCGAAGCCTGTAGAGAAGTCTGGGATAGTAGATCCATACAAATTCCTTCTACCGAGTCCCTTGCCAAGCTCCTTGAACATGTTCTCAAGTATAACAACTTCATGTTTAATGGAACATTACCTCCAGGTTAATGGCACTGCTATGGGTACGAAAATGGCACCATCTTATGCCAATATTTTCATGGGCAGACTTGAACGCAACCTGCTACTTCAAGCACCATTTAGGCCCCTTAGCTGGTTGCGTTTCATTGACGATATAGAGATGAAGTGGGTGGAATGTCGCGAGAACCTCGAGGCATTCATTTCGTTTGCCAACACCTTTCATCAGTCTATCAAATTTACAGTAGACGTATCTAATTCGAAAAACATATTCCTAGATACTACATCTACCCTGACTGATGGTGAAATCGAGTTCAGTCTCCACACGAAACCCACAGATTCCCATTTGTATCTTATGCCAGCTAGCTGTCATCCCCCACACACATTTAAGGGTGTGCCTAAGGGTCCAGCCACCAGAATTCGGCGCATCTGTTCATCCCCTGCCTTATATCAGGAACAAAGCGGTCTCCTCAAGTCCCACTTATGCAAGAGAGGCCACAGTGCCCGCACCGTACAAACTGCTATTGATGAGATGGCGGGACATGACAGGCAAAACCTATTACGCTACAAGGAAAAAGACAATAGCGGCAGGGTCCCTCTGGTAACAGCATACCATCCCGGCCTTAAGAACCTCAGCGGTATC